TTTCACCTATTGGGAGGCTGGTGATGCAGCTCAATGGTAGAGTGCTTGCCTCACATGCATGAGGCCCTGATTCGATCCCCAGCATTGCAATAAACAAACGGACAAAAAAAAATCAGGCTCCATGTGTGTGGTAGCTTGTATCAGCACCTTATTCCTGTTTAGGGATGAACAGCACTCCATTGCATGGATACATACATCACATTTTGTATGTCCACTCATCTGCAGATGGACTTTTGGGCTGTCTCCATCTTTTGGCTATTATGAACAATGCTGTCTCTTGGGTGGACTTGCAGGGGCATATGGGAGCTCCTCATCTTAGAGTGTGAGGAGCTGCCAGACTGCTTCCCCACAACTGCACTGTCTCCTGCCAGTCACTCTGAGGGCTGGGGTCTTCCCACACCCTCGCCAATACCTGCTTTCTGTTTTATTATTATTAGCTCTATCCTACAATTACCCATCCCATTGGGCGTGAAGTGGCATCTCACAGCGGTTTTGACTGCATTTAGGAAAATGCAGTAATTATGACAGCGAAAGACGAGTATTTTTCATGAGCTCATTGGACCCTTGTATATCATCTTAGGGAAAACGTCTATTCCAGCTCTTTTCCATTTTAGAACTGGATTTCTGGGTGCTCACTGTCGCAGCAGGAGTGAGGAGCAACTGGATGCAGCAGTGGATACCCACCTCTTGTACTCCAGGTACCCTTCCAACTGGCCCCAAAGCCCAGGCTGGACAGGCCTTCCTGGAACCCAAGGGTTCTCCTGGCCCTGGCCCTGGGAATCCAGGAAGGGTCAGAAGAGAAGGTGGGAAATGGGCTGAGAGGACTCTGGCCTTCTCCTAGCTCAGGAGGGTGTACACAGGAACTGGAGCTTCAAAACTTCAGTGAGGTAGATTCAGGACCAAGAGGATGAAGAAGGTGCTTACACAGCAGGCTCTGGACTTAGGAATCCCATCATCCCAAGAAGCGATGCAGGCTTTAAATCATACACACATTCATGGTTAAGAAAAAAATTGAATTGTTGGCTTTCACTGTTGAAATGGAACATACTTACATATTCTGGATTATAGGCCTTGATCGGATATATGATTTTCTCCCATTCTGTGCATTGATTTTTCATTTTCTCTCTTTCCTTCCTTCCTCTACTGGGGATTGAACCCAGAGGCTCTCTACCACTGAGCCACATTCCAGCCCTTATTTATTGATTGATTTTATTTTGAGGCAGGGTCTTGCTAGGTTGCACAAGCTGGACTTGAACTAAAATATTTTTGTTATATTTCAAGTGTAAAGTATTAAGAACAATATAATAAAGCCGTATGTTCCCACGCCATGGTTACACATGATTGACTTGGGCCCTGAATAACTGAGGCTGGTGCTTTTGAGATGGAGGGGTCCTGCCTCCTTCACACCCTTCCAGAATCAGGTATTCTAGCCACACATTTAATACAATCTCTCCTGCTCCCTCCTCTCCACTTTCTTCAGAGTCTCACTCCATCACCCCTTCTCTGCAACATCTCAACTCTTCCTCTCTGTAAGTTCTTTCTTTTTAAAATATTTTTTTTAGTTGTAGGTGGACACAATGACTTTATTTTTATTTATTTATTTTTGTGTGGTGCTGAGGATCAAACCCAGTGCTTCACCCGCGCTAGGTAAGCACCCTACCGCTGAGCCACAACACCAGCCCCTGTAAGTTCTTTCTTAGCAACCTTTAAACCTGACCTTAGCATCTTAGAAACCTTCAGCTCCTCATGCGTACCCCTCCAGGTCTTGCTTGCCTTTCTCCAACTAGCTCCTCTGTTGATATCAGTTTGATCTTCCAAAAAATACATCATGGGTCACCCACTCTCATCCAGGTTGAAAAACCTTCAGGGGCTTCCCATTTCCTTCTGGAAATTCTGAACTCTTCTCCTAGAGATGACTTATGGGCTGGGAACGTTTATCCTCTTGAGAAATACCAGCACTTAGCACAGTACTTGACACATGCTAAGTACCCCATCAAGGAAGATAGGGACAGCCGTGTCACCCTCCCGTAGCAGTGCAGCTGGTACCAGGAGGGAAAGAACAATTCTGAAAAAGCTCTGACCCCTTCCTGTGGGCACCCAAAAGGTGCCTCCCTCTGCCACCTCCCAGTCCTGAGAACACCCACCTTTCCCCAGTTGAAATTGTAGCTATTCATGTGGCACGTGGGCGTGGCCCTCCCTGGCAAAGTATCTTTTCCACTGGTGCCAGGGTGGGGATTTCACCCATTGTTGCTGATCACACACCAACCCCTCCCTGCTTCTTTCTGAATCTTGCCTACCCCACCAGGACCTCTTCTTTGGTGTCCCATTCTGTAAAACAATGTGCTCTCCTGCTCCAGGAGGTATGAGGACTCTAGGGGGCTCTGGAGGAGAAGTAAAGAGGAATTTGGGGGGAAGACTAGTTATTGCTGATATCACAGCTTTGCTGGCAAACCAGCTTGGCTCTTGGATGGCTATAGCTGTATCTCAAGATGGGGGAACTGGGTGCTGCCTTCCAACTTTCTCACATCCTGGTACTCCTGTTAGATTTTCCAGAGCAGTCTGTAACCTGCAAATGGCAAAGGAAAAAGGGAAACAGGCTGGCTCCAGACACCTTTACTGCATGCCCATCCACCAGGAAGTACACCTCTTCCCCAAGAATGGCAAGGGTCATCCCCCACCAGGGAACCACACTGTGCCCGAGCAGTGAGGGGTAGGGAAAAGCAGGAACAAAAAATCCAGTTTGGAAGGAGGCAGTTGGTAGAGGTCAGCAGTGTGAAGACTGAGGGCTGGGAAGCTGGTGGCAGCTGATGGCTTTGGATACCTTCTGCATGCTGGAGGCTGAGGATGGAGATGGATAGTTTGCCGGTGGCTGTGTCACCATAAGGGGGATCAAGCAGGTCTCTCCAGAGGTAGAAGTCACCTCTAGTTGGACCTTCCAGGGTCTTGACAAATAGAAGAAATTTAAGTGCAAATCAGGTTTTAGCAAAGAGAGCAAGAGCTTTGCTAGGAAGGGTGAAAAGGGTGAAGATACACATTCTCAGAGCAGAACCTGTGCCATCTTGAAAGCAAGATACAATTTCAGGGTATCTGGCTTTTTTTTTTTTTTCCTGTGCTGGGGATTGAACCCAGGGCCTTGCACATGCCAGCAAGTACTCCACCACTGAACTACAGCTTCAGCCCCATGGGCTCTTCTTTTAAAGGCAACTTTGTGAGGGGGCGCTGGGAAGGCACGTGGGCACGAGGTCGGCCTGGTGAGCCCAGCTCTCTGATCATGGGCACTGGGGGAACTCTGGTCCCCTCCAGGGTCTTCAGGTTGACACCACCTCCTCCGTCTAGATAGGCTTTGGAATGTGCCTCGATTACAGGTTTCTTAAAGCACATCTTTGCTTTATCTAATCTGAAAATACATCCTGTGGGCTCACAGTACTCTAAAACTTTAATCAAAATGAGAGAATTTTCATAAATGAGTTTATTTACAGTAACTCTAATGTTTGTGGATTTTTCAGAAATTTAGGAGTGACCAGCCTGGAAGAAAAAATGGGCCTGGGGCTTTTAGATTCACTGCTAGTCTCTTCTTCCTTACCCTTTGTCTCTTTTCTCTCTCTATTCCTTCTATCCTACCTCAGCTGGATGGAGGAACAGAAGGGTAGGGTCCCATCCTGCTCAGTGAACACTGCTTGACCAGGGGAAAGTGGAACTGTTCTTCTAGCACGGTGCTCCTGTCCAGCCCACGGCCAGGAAAGCTCCTTGAGGGCCCGACATGTCCATCCCACCGCCCTGGCCTCTCCCCTTTAACACCCTCCCCTTCTTTGTTGTGGGGTCCTGGTTTTCTTTAACTCTGCCCAGAACATACGGGTCCCCTCTGGCTGTTCTTTGGGTCTTGGTATCCACCATGCTCACCTCACCTTCTCCCAGGGCTGGTGCTATAGCTGCCCATGACCTCCTAGCCTACCTCACCTGGTGGCCACCTGTACAGTCAGCTGCCCACCAGTCTTCAAGCCAGATGAAGATGCAAAGACTCCCTGAAGCTCCCAGGTCCCCCACCCATGAACTCAGGATGAGCCACTAGGGACATCCGAAAACTGTCTTCATCCACCCAAACCCTGGGCACAACGAAGCCTGTCCCATCCTCCCCCTCTCTGCCTTCCTCTCTCCTGGAGCCTCCTGCCTGGGTTCAACCCGCCTCCACCATCCTTGCTCTCCTCCAACGACTCCACATTCCGTCAGAACGCCCCTTACTCCTCCACCTGCTCCCCTGCACCTGCGAAGGTCACTTCGTGGAAGTCGACACTCCTTAAGTTGAGGTGCAAGCTGATTTACAACTTGGGGGAAGCCGAATGGATTTCTCTGGAGGGTACGGGAAACCCTGCTACCTTTAGGACCTGGGAGGATCCGAGTAGGGGGGTCACCTGCCCCGCCCCCCAGCGAAGTCGCCTCCGGAACTGCTCTAATGGGAACCAGCGCTCGGGAGGGAGGGCGGCGGCCGCTGTGGGTTCCCGCTCCCACCTCGGTGGGGCCACAGGCGGCGCGCACCCAGCCGAGGGGCGTTGGTGGCGGTGGGGGAGGGGTGGCGCTCCAGGGACCCCCACGGCTCGCACCCTACCCCCGGCGCGTCTCCAGTCGAATTCGGGGTGTGCGCCTGATTTCCAGAGGGAACCAACTGGGGGCTTACCGGTCGCGTCCCCCACTAAGGGGACCCCCCAAGCCCCTGGACCCTTCTGTCCTCTTCATCCTCCTTCGTCCCGGCCGAAGGGATAGGGGTGGCAGGAGTGGCGGGGGGCAGAGCCTCGAGGGACAGCCAGGGCCGCCGGGAGGGTTGCACGTGTGGGTCCCCCGGGCTTGGGTGGGGGCGGCGGGAGGAGGCCTGACCCTGGGGACCGCGGGGGGTGGCTGCGGAACGCGGGGTGGGGACTGGAGCGCAGCCTGAGAAGTGGGCGGGGACAGGTTGAGGGGTGGTCTCTGAGGAGGAGCCAGGCTGGGCCGTATTGTTCCGCGCTCGGCCGCCCACTCCGGGGCACGGCGCGGGCCGGGAGGGCGCGCGGGGCGCCGGGCACTCGGCTTCCCGGGTTCCTCCGCCCGCAGCTGCCGAGAGGCGGGGGCCTCCCTCGCACCGCGAGTCCCTGCTGCCCCGCCGGCTGGGCGGGGTGGGATCTTCGGATTCCGGAGAGAGAGGGGCGGTTTGTGTCCACGCACCTGGGACTCCATCGGGGGGTCCATCGTGCGCCTCAGCACAGTCTCCTGCCGAAGGCCGGTGGGCGGCGGGGACGCTGGGCCCCTGACCTGACCCCGCGGCGCCGCGAGCCCCCGCAGAAGTCGGGCGCCCGGGACCCCGCGATGGCCGCGGGCGGATACGGCCCCACGGAGCCGCTGCGTGGACGCCGGAGCGCCCCTCCCTAGCGGAGCCAGCTGCTCCTAGTCCCCGGCCCCGCCGGCGGGATGGGGGGCGGCGGGTCGTCCCTGAGGGTCTGCACGGATCACCGCGGGGGCATCAACTGGCTGAGCCTGAGCCCGGATGGGCAGCGCCTGCTGACCGGCAGCGAGGACGGCACGGCCAGGCTCTGGAGTACTGCGGACGGCCGGTGCTGCGCGCTCCTGCAAGGTAGACCCGACGGCGGCGCGCCCGCGACCCCTGCCTGCCTTCTTAGCCGCCCGCCCCCAGCCCCAGACCGTGGGTCTCAGCAAGTTCGTTCTCAGACCCCTTCCTCAAAAAGTCCGGCCCAGCCCATCGTCTCACTTACTTGAAGGAGCGCTCCTCCGGGCCCAGCGCCCGACTCGTGAGCGCCGGACCGGGCGGGAGGAGATGCTGGGGTGGGACGGGTGCGGGTGGGGCCCGGTGGGCAGAGGGGCGCCCGCCGCGCCGGCAAGATGACTTGTCCGCTGGCTGCTTGAAATCATTACCTTTCCAACACTATCAGCAAACAAAAGAATTCGCACCTTTGCCCCTGCGAAGCAGATCTTTCCAGGTCGCTGGATGACCTGGTGACCTTTGGCCAACTTTTCCTATTTGGGGCCATTTTGGTAACAAAAGGGGTTTTGGGGGGGCCGGCTGCGGTGGTGTGCAGCTACAGTGCCATCTCCCCATTGTGTTAATTTGCCCAGGGCAGCTCAAGCAGTGGGGGTCGACTTGAAATTTGAACTCCTTCCCTGCGGCCACCCTGCAAAGCTCTCTAAGGCCTCTTTCCAGTTGCTGCAAAGGAAGGGTGAGGAGTGGGATTGGTCAGGGTGGTCGTTCAATCTGTTTGGCATTTTTGAGGAGGAGATGAAATATCAGGAGGCCTTCCCTTAGTGATGTAAACATAGTCCCATGCAACCACTGTGTGTGAGGTCCCACTCTACTCTGGCTGCCAGGCTGCTGCAGAGTTTGGGCAGTCCCCCTCGACAAACCTTCACAAGGCCTTAGACTTCCTGCACCAGGGGGTGTAGCTCTTTTTTTTTTTTTTTTTAATCACTGTGGACTTTTCTGCCATAATCAGCAAATCCTGGGTGGCCCCACCCAGCCCTTCCAGCTGAGATAGGATGTTAGCCTCCAAACTGGCTGATCCTGACACTGCTGTTTTCAAGTTAAAAACAAGTTAAGGTAGAGATTTCAAAGCCCAATAGGAATGAATTTGGGATCAACGGTTATTTGGGAGTTGGTATGGATAATGGAGAGATGGCCTCAAACACACACACAGACACACACACACACACACACACACTCCTCCCAAACAGAGGCACTCACCTGGAAATGGAAGAGCTGAGATCAGTCAGAAAATTTAAACCCAACTTGTATCTATCCCCAAATGTAAGACTCTTTGGAGGAGGTTTCAGAAATGCAGTCTCAGGCCTGGGCTCCAGTGACTCCCCGTGAGTAAAGCCCCAGAATGAGCATTTGTAACGGCCTTTCTGGTGGCCCTAATGCACAGCCAGCCTGGGGAGCCCTGCGGCCAGCGAGCCTTGTGTGAACTCCACTTGCTAGGTGGGCTTCTCCCCAGGTAAGCTCCAGTCTTCTCCAGGCTGGTTCTGGTCTGGTGGACACGGGCCTGTCCCAGGGCAGCTTTGTAGCCTCCAGGGCCCACCCTGTGCTTAGCTCTGTGCTGGGCATCTGGACCTTTGGCTTCACACCCACTTTGGTGGTCCCAGAGCTGCTTATCTACTTTCCATGAGGGGTGCCTGACCTGCCCCCATTGAGGGCCATCCCCACTGAAGCAGAGAACTGTTGAATTAAAGGACCGAGCCCATTCCTACAAGGGCTGATTTCACTCTTATTAAGGTTGATATTTCAAATTTTTTTTGAGGACAGAGGGGATGGAGTATCTTCATCTTGAGAAGTTACTTACTGATTCGACCCTCAAGAGTTACAGGAATGTAGTTCTTTTGTGTGCTCACCTACTAAAGCAAGGTCTTGTTCGCTCCTTCTTCCTGAAGGGTTTGTTTTGGTCTGGGTGAGAGACTAGTAGGATGTCTGGACATTTGTTTCATTCTTTAAGTCTTATAGATGCACGTCTGTGTGTCCTTTATTGTGTGGTTAGTCCTCACAGACTTATTTACCCCCACACAGAGCCCCTCAGTGATTTCCAGACTCTGTCCCATGGGGCGGGTGCTGTCTTCAACACCCCCAAGGTCCAGTGTGCTACCAGACTTGTCCCAGTCTCACGGCTGGCTCAGGGCAGAGAGGGCTTCTTCCTGCTGTGTGGCTGAACCTGTACTGGGGCACCACTGCAGGAGAAGTTGTGCCCAGGCTGGGTGGCAAGCCAGAGGGGCCCTGGTCCTTAGTGCTGCCTGCAGATCCAGGCATATCTTCAGTCCTGCCCGGGGCTAGCCCCTTGTGCAGCTCTAAGCTTATAGAAGCCTCCAAATTAAAACCTGTCAGTTGGTCGTGCCTGGATTTCTTGGGCAGAAGGTTAGGGTTGGTGACTGTGCCATGAGCATTTCCTCTGAAGATGGGCTTCTTGTTTTATTCTCAGCAGCGGAGGGTGGTCAGGGGACCAGAAGTTTTCAGTGTTCAGAGCTTGAGGATTTGGGATCAAGGAGTGGAATGGGCACAAAGAGCGAGGGCTGTTTTCTGTGGGATGGGGGCTTTTTGGGGTCATTGTCATTGCTCTTAGGGGCCCCAGAAGAGCTGCAGACCTGCAGAACTGGCTTGCTGGGCTCCCCTCATATGACCATGTTTACCTCTTTTTGTGTGTGTGTAGGAGGAATGTGGATTGAACCCAGGGGTGCTTTGTCACTGAGCTACTTCCCCAGCCCTTTCTATTTTTTATTTTGAGACAGGATCTCACTAAATTTCTTGGGGCCTCACTAAGTTTCTGAGGCTGGCGTTGAACTTGCCATCCTCCTGCCTTAGCTCTGGAGTTGCTAGGGTTACAGGCCTGCACCACCACACTCAGCTCACGTTCAACTCTTAATGGAACTGGGCTTTCCAATGCAGTTGATGAGCTTACAATGAAGAAGAAGGCTTAATTCTGTAAAGAGAATTGCTCGGACTGAAGTTATCCGTGGGCCCTCTCCTTTTCACTTTATACAGTGGGTGTCTACTTCTTGGGAGCACTTTGTTGGATCAAAGAGATGAACTGCATTTCCTAAAATGGCAGTACCTGTCCTGCGCTGTTCCTGCTGAGTAAGGGACTAAGCCTGTCATTTCCAGGCCACGAGGCTACTCCACACACTTCCTGCCATTCCCAGTGTGTTCCATGAGCCAGGGTCATGTTTGATGGGTTCAGGGGAAGAGGGTGCCTGGGCCTCAGGTAGAGCAGAAGCAAAGACACGAGGTGAGACTCCCAGAGGACCAGGGAAAGCAGAAGAGGTGGAATGGGCAGGAAGATGGCTGAGGAGATGAGGTGCACTTTTTCCCTTGTGCATACCATTCAGACATAATGTTTAGAAGGGCACGGGGGCTCGCTGGGAAGGCGCTCAAGCACAAACAACACCCGCTTTGCCTGGGTCAGGGAGAATTCCATCAGAACGCAGTCTGTCTGAGGTACAAGACCCGTGCTTAATTCATCCTTCAGTGCTCTGGAGACCACTGTCGGGGGTGGTGGGGCGCCCTGGGGGTGCCAGTTGAGGCAGAGAGGGAGGCAGGAGAGCCTGGGGGAGGTTGTGGGAGGGCCATGGCCTGGCTGCAGATTACATTGGGAGGAGTAGCCCTGCTGCACATGGGTGACCAGATGTGGGCAGCCTGGCCAGCAACTGGGGGCCTGGGGGCCTGAACCCACCACAGCAGTCCAGGAGGCCCAGGCTGCAGCCGTCCTGGGTCCCCAGCAGGGGTTGGCAGATGTACTACCAGTGGCTGTGTCAGTGTTCCTTTCAGCTGCAGCCCTGTGCCTCTGTGTTCAGCCTCACCCCAGAGGACATGAGACGCTATGGCTGTGTGAGTGGGGGCCTGGCCCCCAGGAGCAGGTAACTCAAGAGCGTCTAAGAGAAGGATGCTAGAGAGGCTGGGCACGGTGCAAGTACCAACAGGGCTGTTGCCTCCTCTTCTGCGGGGGCACAGTCGCCTCCAGACAGCTGTAGAGAGGACTTCTGCAAGGATGGGGTGACTTGGTTAGAGGAATACAGTCAGCCTGCGGGCCCTCTGGGTCAGGGCTAAGGAGAGCATCTCCTGTGCGAGGACCGTGGGTGTCTGAACCCATCTGGAAATGGAAGGATAGGACTTCCTTGAAGTCCACCACTCAAGGACAGGGACAGTTAACTCTGGCCAGTGGACAGGTGCCACAGACAGCTGGGTAATGTCAAGAGCACAGTGCCATCCCTATCTCCTGGTGGCTGCTGGAGTGGCAGGTTGCTTTGTTGTTTAGTGCTGGAATACTGAGGACAGAAGGCTTCCTTTCACACAGTCAGGGCACACGCCAGGTGGGGGTCCCCAGCCAGGCCCTCTGGGCTGCTTTCGCTGAGCAGGGAGAGAGCAGCTTGCCCCCAGACTCCTGTCAGCATGTGGGTGCTCAGGGAGGTGGGAAGGGCTGCTACCTTGGCAGAAAACCCTGGACCTTAGTGTGTTCTTTTGAACATAATAGCTGCATCTTATCTGCATTCTTCATCCTTCAAAAATATTTATTTTTAGCTTGGCGTTTTTGCTTATTCTGCGTAATTCCAACAGCTGAAGGCCAAGGCACTGAGGTCCCTGGTGGTATGATGGGCTCAGGATCTGGTGTGCATATTTTCCTCCTGCCCCCTGGGGTGACCCCACAGGCCTGGGTCTGTGGAATACTGGTCAAGGGGGTCAGGGCCGCACAGCAGAGTGGCGCCGCTGGGGGATGTGCTCAGCGCGTCCCAGGCCCCTCTGCTGGCAGGCTCTGACATGTGACCCAAACGGTGTGTTTTCAGATGTGGGGTGAGTGCTTGGAGGGGGCTTGTTCACAGCAGAGCCCTGACCACTGTGGCAGCCTCTGCTGGCGGAAGGCAGATGACCGAGGGCATTGGTCAGCCTGGCTCGGGTTCAGAGGATTTTTACATTGAAAACCTTAGAAGCTGGGCTGTAGCTCAGTGGTGGAGAGCCCCCGCCCTACAAAAACCCCAAAGGAAACAAGCACTTGGGCCCTTTCAGTCCCGTCTCCTCCCGTCTTCTTCGTGTGCATTTACGTATTTACGGATCTGCAGTCTGTGTTCTTGTCCCTTTTTTCCCTCCACCGTCGTAAGGCTGTCCCACACCTCAGGTCTGCGGCAGTCCTGGTCTGGTGGCTTGAGCGCAGGTGCCCTTGCTCACCAGCTGTGCTTGGCTCTCACCTGCTTTCCTGGGGTTCATTTGGACTCGCCCTGCCCTCTGCCTTCCTGTTGATGGGCCGGGAGCAGCTGGCACAATGCCTCAGCCTCCCTCTGGCCTCAGCTAGCTGTGTCCAGGGTCCTCAGGGGGCTGGTGTGTGCAGCACCTGGGTGACCTTGGTGTCCCTTGACTGCCCTCCCATTCTGGGGTGTTCCTGGCCCTCGGGGACCCTGAGGCTGGGGGCTGTACCCATCCCCCATGGTGGCAGCAGGAAGACTGGGACAATCTCGTCTTAGGGAAAGTTTGTTGACAGTCTGAAAGGACTTTATAAACTCTGTGGAGCTGGCAAGAGCCTCGCTGTGTTTGGCCAAACCCATTTTGCCCTCGACTTTTCGCCGATGTGTATTTTAAGGGAAACATTATCTGCCACTTCTTCAAGTGTTTCCTTAATTCCTACATTGTTTTCGGAGCAGCGTGGTGTGTGTGCTCCAAGAAGACTGGAAAACTTTTTTTTTTTTTCAAAAAAAATTCTGTTTCTTAGAACCCAGGAAGTTGACTTCTTCCAAAAGTAACTCAGCCTGTGCCCAGGACAAAAGAAAAGAAAAGAAAGAATGAGCTTAACAGCACCCTGAAGTCCCTGTCTGCCGGGCCCCAGCCATCTGAACGAGGTTTTAAAATATCATCAAACCATTCCGGGTCTTTGGCAGCCCTGGTTTGGTGGCTGTAGTTCCGTGGAGTAAAGATCGTGCCACTCACTAACCGCGTCTGGTTTATAAGTTTAATTTAATTTAAAATAAGATTTAAAAATTCTTAAAATGAGATCCTAATGTAATAAGTGCACCCCCCAAATACGTGAGTGCTTTAACTCCTTGGCTCCGCTGTGTGGGACCTTCCTTTGGTTCTGTTGGTTTTGGCCCCCGATTCCTCTCAGATGTCCTCGTTTTCAACAGCTGTTTTCCCCGGTGGAAGCACCTTACCTGAAGGACTAGCATCATCCTGGGCAAATCCCCCAAGGGCCCCAGGCCTGCTTGACAATGGCTCGGGCATGAACACAGGGGGTCATCACGCTACCTAGCAGGGGCCCCTGAGGGCCGGATGCAGGGCCAGCCCATGTCTGTCTGCTGTCCCTGACTCCATCTCCCCGTGTAGATCCTCTGGCCCTAGCACTCAGGCCTCTGCCCCGGGGAAGCTGGTTCAGCCACTGTCCCTGCTGAGCCCCTTGGCCACAGGCCTCACCCGATGACCTTCCTTCCGGGCTGGGGGTGCTCTTGGAAGGCTGGAGTGTGTCTTCTTCGTCCCCGTATTATGGCAGTGCCTTGGAGATTGTTGGTGCCTTGAACAGCTGCAGTTTATTCTTGCACGGTTCCTGAAGCCAGAATCCTGAAGTAAATGTCCCTGGGACAAATCAAGGAGTCAGCAGGCCATATGCCCTCTGAAACCTGTAGGGGACAATCTTTTCTTTGCCTCTTCCAGTGTCTGGTGAAGGCCGGCATTTCTGTGGCCACATAGGCTGCTTTCTCTGCCCCCACATGGCCTTCTTCTCTTTGGTGTGTCAAATCTCCTTCTCCCTCTTATTTTTTGGTGGGGGAGGGTACTAGAGATTGAACTCAGGGCACCCATCCACGGAGCCACACCCCCAGCTCTATTTTGTATTTTATTTAGAGACAGGGTCTCATTGAGTTGCTTAGCGTCTTGCTTTTTGCTGAGGCTGGCTTTGAACTTGCAATCCTCCTGTCTCAACCTCCCAAGCTGCTGGGATTACAGGCGTGCACCACTGCACCCAGCCCTCTCCCTCTCTTATAAGAATGCTTCTGACAGCATCTAGGGCCCACCCAGATTATCCAGGACAGCCTCCCCAAGTCAGTTCTCCAACTTAATCATATCTGCAAAGAACCTTTTCTGAGTCAGGTGACAGGTTCCAAGACGTGTGCAGCACCCAGCAACTTGGGGAGCCCAGGCTTACCACAGTATCTCTGCCTGAGTGTAGGAGGAAACCAACACGCAGCATCTGCTAGAGGCTGCCACTGAAACTCAGTCTGCACAGTGGTCTGTGGGGTGGACATTGATGCTGTTCCCATTTCAGGTGAGGGAATGGAGGCGTGGACAGGTGGGAGGACATAGCCAGGTCAGTGAGTGGAGAATGGCAGATCCTGTTCACTGGAAGAGAAGCAGGAGCTCCATCCGGGCCCTCTCCCCTCCTCTGCAGGACATGAGAGCTACGTCACCTTCTGCCAGCTGGAGGAGGAGGCTGCCTTCACCTGCAGCGCCGACTGCACCATCAGGAGGTGGGACGTGCTGACCGGGCAGTGCCTGCAGGTGTACCGAGGACACACGTCCATCGTGAACAGGTCAGCTTGGCCTGGGGGCTTGGGCTGAGTCTTGTTGGCCAGGCTGAGGGGGACAGAGTCATAGGGCCTGGCCCTTGGGGAACATAGGTTCTCTGGAGAACTCCGTGTGGACAGTAGCCCCAGCAAGGGAGACCCAAGACAGAGGTGCACCCTGGCCTGAGGGCTCTGCCCGGGGCCGTGCGGGGTCTGGAGGAGGAAGAGCACCACCAACACATTGCGTTGTCTGCCCCCACCCCGGAGCTGGGCACATGCCCACACCTGCTGGGTGCCAGGAGGGGTGTTGGAGCTCCAGTGTCCACAGATGGGGACAAGGAGGAAAGCGCTGAACTGATACTTGATGGTGGACCAAGGGTTGGGGGGGACATGCAGATTGTTCTGAAGAAGCAGTTGGGATGTTTTTGAGCCCCGCCTTTCTATTTGGCTGTGGAAAGTCTCCACCTTCCCTGCTCAAGTTTGACTTTTCCTTTCCTTATTGAACTTGGGTTGGAGCTGAGCAGGGGAAACTCCCCTGCTGATCAGATCAATTTGATACTATTTGCTTAACTTGTGATGGCCGCCCCAGGCTCCTGAGGTCATGCCTGATTCAGGGAGACTTGGCACCATGGCCCTCAGCCACGTGGGCAGGAGGGGCCCTGCCCGGGAGGGGCCCGGCAGGCACAGAGGAGAGGAGGTGCGCAGCCAGAGCGACCTGACCCAGGCCACTGCTCGGGCTTCTAGCAGCTGGTGGGAAAGAGGGGCAAGGCGGACGGTCCAGCTGCTCCGGACCTAGAGCCACGGTGGGAGCAGCTGGCCGCCAGGGTGTGCAGGCAGCATCCCTGAGGAGAAGGACCAGCCGGTGTGGCCGTGGGCAGCGGGCAGTGGGCGGGCCAATCTGGAGGCCCCGCGTGGGATGCCAGCCCTGCCTCCCGCACCACAGTGTTGTCCCCTCCTTCTCCTGAGGTGGGAGGCCGATCCACTGCTAAGAGAGGGAGGTGGCAGAGGAGAGGCTGGAGGGAGAACCCAGGTCTTGTCTTACAGCGAGGCTGGCTCTGAGCACTCTGTCCTGAGGAAGAAGATGTCATTGAAGAAATGTGTGGAGGCCATGCCCTCAGGGACCAGAGTGTGCTCGGGCTGCTGACTCAGAAGGAGCGCTAGACAGTGAGAGGTGGAAATTACACTCTGCCTGTTTAGTTTCCTGTGCGTGCATACAATGCACACAAGCACACACTTGTACTCAAGTACACAAGCATGCAGCACGCAGTCATATGGACACACAAACATGACCCAGCACATGCACTCCTATGCACACGTGCAGATATGCACGCACAGTGTGTACCCTGAAGACAGACACACACCACGTGCACAAACACCCACACCCCCACACTCACACCATTGTCCATCGGAGGCTGTGCTCAACCCACGGCTCAGGTCAATGCCTGTGTGATTAAGTAACTGTGCGTCCAGTGGGTGAGAGCCACGAGTGAGGACCTGGGATCCACTGCCTCCCATGTTTTCAGAGAATGGCCGTGTGTGAGCTTTGGGAACACTGACCCTTCCGTGGCCTGGCATCCCTCCCCGGTGCCAACTGGGGCAGGAATCGGCTACCCCGCCCCAGCTCCCCAAGGCCACCCCCTTCAGGTCCTGAGACAGGAAGAGTCCTGACCCCTGGCAGGTCCTGGTCCCACGCCTGCAGGGATGTGCCCCATTCGGACTAGAGGCAGGGCCTCAGGCCTTTGTGGCCTCCCTGGCGCACAGGGCTTAAAGCTGGAGTGTAAACAGGCCCTGTGAAGTTACGTGTGAAGTTCTGAACCAAAGACAAACGGTGTTTTTCTGGAAGGAATTTCTCAGCATTTAGCAAAATGACCATAAATCATGGCTGCTGCCTCCGGAGGCCTCCCCTCCTGTCCTGAGGCCAGCCAGGTCCACTGCATGAAAAGGCTCTCCTTGCTCCCCGGCCCTTTGTGTGCCAGGAAACCCATAAGGGCTGTGACCTGGAGCTTGCAGTGTCACCTGTATGGGGCCACTGTGACAGCTGACACAGGGGCCCACCCTGCCTGCTGCAGCTTGTCACCCTGGGCACCCTGCAGCCAGTGTCAGGGTGGACGTGTGGAATTCCTCAGCCGCCAGCCTCTCCAGAGCTCTCACTCTCCAGTGGCCCTGCAGCGAGGTGGCCAGCTGTCCTCTTAGTTCCTGACTTTAAATGGAAAGGCCTGTGTCCCCAGAAACCCTTCAGCTCTGGGCAAACTGGAAGGGTGGCACCCCACCTCCCGTCCCCATCTCCTACTCCCCTCTTTCATGACTGTGTGGAGCCGCGTGGAGAGTTGGAAGGGTCCAAGTCGGAGCCTTGGTCCCTGCTGTGGGTGGAGGCCAGGCCAGCAGGTGGCTCTGCGCAGGGAAGGGATCCGGTCAGGGGGCATCTCAGGGGGTCTTGGTGGCTTCCTGGAGTTGGGCTTTGAGCTGAACCTCGGCAGGTGAGGGTGTCGTCAGGCAGAGAGCAGGAGGCTGTCCAGCTGCAGTGCCAAGGCAGCCCGCCAGAGCCGTGGGCCTCCTGGCCCTGACCTTGACCCTCTTGCCCCAGGATCCTCGTTGCCAACAACCAACTCTTCAGCGGCTCCTACGACCGGACAGCTCGCGTCTGGACTGTGGACGAGGGGCAGGCGTCCCGGGAGCTCCGGGGCCACCGCAACTGCGTGCTCACGCTGGCCCACTCCAGCCCCTGGGAGGTCCCTGGCACACCCCGCCTGGAGGAGGCCGTGGCTGGGGGGCTCCTGGTGACCGGCAGCACGGACGGCACAGCCAAGGTGTGGCAGGTAGCCAGTGGCTGCTGCCACCAGACACTGCGGGGCCACACGGGCGCGGTGCTGTGCCTGGTTCTGGACGCGCCTGGCCGCACGGCCTTCACTGGCAGCACCGATGCCACCATCCGCGCCTGGGACATCCTGAGCGGGGAGCAGCTGCGCGTGTTCCGGGAACACCAGGGCTCTGTCATCTGTCTGGAGGTGAGACCCGCCTGGCCGCTGCCCACCCAGCTGCCAGGGAGGCCCTGCGTCCTCTGAGCTGCCCTGCTCCTGTGCTGGCCAGCTCGGGCGGCAGGAAGGTGCCATGGATGGGGGCTGGACGTGTGAGATCAGGGGTCGCAGGGCTGGTTCCTCTGAGGCCTCTCTCCCTGTTCTCAGTGTGGCTGCGTCCTGGTCTCTTACAGGACCAGTCCAATTGGATTAGGGTTCACCCTGATGACCCTTGGCCTTATTTTAACTTAAATCAACTCCTTAAAGACCCAACATCAAAATAAGTTCACATTCACAGGTTTGGGGGCCAGGGGCAAACCTCTCAACAAACCGCCAAGTTCTGAAGCTCAACCCTCAGCTTCTGACTGTGCTTGAGGGGTCTGGGCCAGACTTGGAGGGGCCCAGAGCAGGTGTCAGCTCTTGCCCCAAGAGCCACATGTGGTGACACACACCTGTAATCTCAGCAACTCAAGAGGCTAAGGCAAGAGAATCACAAGTTTGAGAATAGCCTTAGCAACTTAGAAAGACCTTGTCTCAAAATAAAAACTAAAAAGAGCTGGTAACAGGTGCCATGGTAGAAAGACCCTAAGTTAAATTCCCAGTACCTGCCAAGAGAGAGAGAGAGAGACATTTTGAAGATAGCTGGTATGTTAAGTTTTTCATTGCTATGACAAAACACCTGAGAAAATCACCTTAGGAGGAGGAAAGTTTTATTCTGATTCACAATTTCAGAAGTTTCAGTCCTTGGTCACTGGGCCATATTGCTTTGGACCTGTGGCAGCACAGTACAATATGGTGGGAGCATGTGGCAGAGGAGACTGCTTTCTTCGTGGCAGAGGAAGGGAAGAGAGAGAGGAGGAGCCAGTGTCCACCATCCCCTTCCAGGGCACGCGTGCAGAGACCTAACCTCCATCTACCAGGCCCCACCTTCTAAAGGTCCTACCACCGCCCAGCAGCACCACCAGCTGGGGACTAAACCTTGAACGTGTGGCCTTTGAGGGACACTGAAGAGCCATAGGGGAATGATCTCCTGCAGGCTGTGGCAGAGGTGCTGCTGCATCTGGGGTGAAGTGTTGGCCGCATGTTTAGACCAGCGCCAGGCTCCGTGTGCGCTGTGCCCCGTGTTTGTCCTCAGCGCCACCCTCTGAGGCAGGGATGATCTTTCCCAGGCACACGAGGGAAAGCAGGGGCTCCGAGTCACTTGTCCGGCCTCGTAAGGAGCAGAGGCAGATCTGAACCCAGGAGGGACCGTATCTAAGCAGGTGTGCGAGGAGTGTCTGGCCTGCTCAGGGCTGGAGGGGGACAGGCAACTGCAGAGGCCTTGCTGATTTTGGCTCAGGAGGTTAGAGCATGGTCTCCCCTCCGGGTCCAAAGCCCAGTGCACTCCCTGGGGCCTGGCCTTGCTCGGGGCCCAGCCAGCCGCCTCCCTTTCCCTCCTGCCCAGGGACCTCAGCAGGGCTGGGGCCTCTCTGGCCACGGCTTTGGTGGGTCCCCCCTCCCGGAGGCTCCCGCCAGTCCTGCGGAGGCCGGCGTGCCCGGCAGCTGACCTCCTGCTCCTCCTGCAGCTGGTGGACCGGCTCCTGTACTCGGGCAGCGCGGACAGGACTGCCAAGTGCTGGCTGGCACACGAGGGGGAGCACGTGTGCACCTTCCCAGCCCACAGACACAGCGTGAGCACCCTCAAGTACCACGCGGGCACCCGTAAGTGACCTGTCCCCGCACTGCCACGTGCCCCAGCTGGCGAGGCCCCCTGCGAGCTCCTCCTGCATTCCTCCTGGCTTGTCCCCTCTGCCTGTCTCTGCCTGCGTCATTTCCCCTCAGTGACTGGCCTTGGCTGTGGTGCCCAAAGCCAGCCACCCAGCCTTCCCCGTGCACCGGCTCCTCCAGTGGCTGCTGCTGCTTTTTCTTCTCCTTCTCCTTCTGTTTTTTTCAAAGAAATTCCAACACAGAATGGGGGACTCCTCACCTTCACAAGCATGTGGGGAGACTGCATGTTCAGAGGTCCTGGGGTCAAAGCATGTCTCAAGGACACATTCTAAGGCTTCAAGTGAGACAGCAACACTCCCTGAAACCCGCCAGATTCGAGGGCCCGTGGGCTTGGCCTCCCTTGGCCGTAGGTGTAACTGCAGATGAGAGGAAACACGGAAAATAGAGGTTTAAGTGAGGTAGCAATTATTCTTCTCTCGGGTAAGAGAGGCCGGCAGCCTTGGCTGGCGTGGGTGGCTCCACAGGGTCCTCAGCACCTCGATCCTTCTGTCAGCTGCTTCTTCATTCTTTGCACATGTCTTCTAGCTTTAATGAAGCATCATGTTCAAGATAGCTGCTGAAGCACCAGCCATCATGTCATGTTTTTGGTGGGAAGGAAGAAGAGGAGGGAGGAACAAAGGGGTGCATCTTCTGCAGCCAGCTACCGCCCTGCAGCTTTAACAGAAAGGATGGGATAGGCTGGGTGCTGTGTAATCCCAGTGACTTGGGAGGCTGAGGCTGGAAGATCACGAGTTTGAGAGTAGCCTTGGCAATGTAGCGAGACCCTCATCCACTTAGCAAGACCCTGTTTCAAAATAAAAATGGCTGGAGATGTGGCTCTGCAGTAAAGCACTCAAGTTCAGCCCCCAGTACCAAAAAAATAAAATAAAAGCCGGGACTAGGCGAGTGGAGGCAGGAAGGACGTGGACAAGAGACAGACGTCCCAACACCAGAGAGCCCCACAGAGGTGCACTTCGGTCAGGCTCTGGCTGCGGGTGAGCGGGAGGCACTGGACCTGCACCCTTGGAGGGATCCTGCTGCAGCACCTCTGGATACTGGGAGTCAACACCCCAAAGAGCCCCCTCGGCGGGTGGTCAGTGGGAGTGGCAGATAAAATGGCATGGGGCTCTTGCTTCCCAGGTGGCTCAGCCTCTCCAGGGCCCAGCAGCCCACAGTAGTTACCTGCTCCCGCCCAGACCCTGTTGGCTTGGTTCCTCCCCTGACCTGGTGCTTCCCAGCGTCTGCCTTACTGCCAGGGTCGCTCCTGGGGCGTCCAGCCTCCAGGCTGAATTCTCTGTGTGGCCCCCAACCAAAGGCATCACCTGGACCTAGTTAAAAATGGAGAGTCCCAGGTGCTACCTGCTACATCAGAAGCCTGGGACAGGCCCTCCAGGTGACGCTGCTGCTCCTTCAAGCTGGAGAACTGTGAGGCTAAGTTACACTGGAGGGAAACCCGAGAGGGAGCCAGACAGGCAGAGGCTTCTCCCGGCCAGGAGTCAGAGGAGCACGCGAGTGAGCCCAGAAGGCCGGGCGCTTCTCAGAAGGCAGACTGAGTACTGACTGGTCCCTGTGGGAGCAGGTGCGGGGTGGAGCAGGGGACAGAGTCTGCTGGCCGTGAGGACCATCCTGAGCACACCAGGCAGAGAGGCCAGCTTCACCAAAGGGCCCTGGGAGTGGGACCTTACCCTGGGAGGCCCTGATGAGGGACAGGGCCACTTGGGGGACAGCGAGGCCCACTTGAAGCCAAGGAGGGCGTGGCAGCCACCAGCCCTGCAGAGGCAGCTGCAGACGGGGAGGGGGAGGGGGTCTCCGCCCCTCGGGTCTGTAGAAGGAGCTCAGGTTCCTTTTGGAGGCTCTGCTGCTTCCCTCTAGAACCTTGGCCACCCTGTGAGGCAGGCCCCAGTACCAAAAAAATAAAATAAAAGCCGGGACTAGGTGAGTGGAGACAGGAAGGATGTGGGTAAGGGACAGATGCCCAACACCAGAGAACCCCAGAGAGGTGCGCCTTGGTCAGGCGCCTTGGTTAGCACCTGCCCCTGTGCTCTGGGAGAAGTTGGCAGCTGGGCACGACAGTGCGCTGCTGTGTGTCCACAGTATTCACGGGCAGTGGGGATGCCTGCGCCCGGGCCTTTGACGCGCAGTCGGGAGCGCTGCAGAGGGTGTTCCGGGGCCACAGCTTTGTCATCAACTGCCTGCAGGTAGGAGCCTCCCTGCCCAGCTCCTGGGGCCTCAGTAACTTGCTGGGGAGGGAGGGTGCTTGGGCCTGGCCAGACTGCCCCTGGGGACAAAGCAGAGGCCCTCCAGATGTGGTGGTTTTTGCCTGGTGTCCTGCCCTGTGTTTGGGGGAGTCCTGAGTCTGACAGCCCACCCGCCTGCCTGCAGGTGCATGGCCAGGTGCTCTACACTGTGTCCCATGATGGCACGCTGCGCCTCTGGGACATGCGTGGTCTCCGGGCCCCGCCACCCACGCCTCGCAGGCCAGCAGCCAAGCGCAGCCTGTCACGCCTGTTCAGCAACAAGGTGGCCTGTGCCCCGGACACACGGCTGCAGGCTGCCTGAGAACAGCAGGTGGTGCCCAAGCCCAGGCGCACGGAGGCAGGCCTTGGTCTCTGCTCCTGGACTTTCCCGAGCCTCAGCTGCAGGTGACGTGTTGGGATGAGGAGGTGTATACCTGCCCTGGGGGATGGCTCCCTTCCCCTGGGGGAGGCTCCTTTTTGTCCCTACCTCCTGAGCTAAGACCTTGTCATCTGGCCTCCTCTGAAACCCTCCCAACTCTTGAGGACTCCAGTCTGATGCCCCCAAGCTCTGGAAACTTCTAGAAACCTCGTATGGCTGGCCCCTTCCTGCTGAGAGGAAATGAGGACATTTCTACTTTGGCAAATTGTTCTGGCAAATTGTGTCCTGAGGACCCTCATGAAGAACTCAAATACACACCCTGTAAAGCTCGAAGCGTGAGTGTGTCCTGTTTTGAGCTCCACCACACACACCCAGCCTGGGCCACCTCCCCTGCCCGTGGTGAGGGGCTGCCAGCAGTACTGCTCCTGGGGAAGGGGCTGTGGGAAAGGCCAGGGCACAGGACGGCTCTTCAGCCTCTCCAGCTGACAGCAGGTGCCACTGCTTTGGAGTGCCCATCGTCTTCTGGCCTGAATCCATGGGGGGGTCTTCCCACAGCTCTTACCCCTTGGTGGTGCCTAGTGTAGGGAGAGCAGCTGCAGGTGACAGTGTCTGTCATTAAGAGCGCAGCATCTCGCTATGGGCACCTCCCTGCTCAGTGCACAGGTGCTGCCCGGCAAAGTCTGCCGTGCCACAGGCCGCACCAGCTCTCCAAGATGGCCAGGCCTGAGGGGGACCCCCCACAGGGACAAGGGCAGTGAGGCACATCCGTGATGATGCTCCAGGTCAAACCTGCAAATCCCAGGAACCAGAGCCTCCCCAGCCCCCAGTAAGTCAGGCTTCTTGATGACCAGTAGTCAAGCAGGAGACCTCAGAATGGGGCCAGTGCTGTTCTCTGGGTGGGCTTGAACACACATGTCCACTCTGGGAGCCATCAGGACTGAAATGAAGTTTCAGGAAGCACAGGCAGAGAACCACTGTGAGTCCCCACCAGGTAGCGCCGGAGGGAGCAAGTCCCAGGCTGGCACTGATGTCCCCAGCTCCAACATGCAGAGACACAGAGTGTGCAGTCTGTCAGATGCTCTGAAAAAAGGGAGGAACCAGAACCAGATACAGCAGTGTATCCCAGTGGTAAGCGCTTGCCCTGCCCCTGTGAGGCCCTGGGTTTGATACCAACACTGCCACAAGAACCAAAAATCAGGTGTTCGCCTTTGATCAATCGATTCAGTTGGCTGAGGGGAGGACAAAACAGGGCATCTGGGCAGGAAAATAGGGACAGGGTGTGGTGGTATTACCAGGGCCAAAGGCAGACAGAATCTGACAAGTGGTCAGCATCAAGGACACCTGGCCAGGTCCAGCACGTCACTGCACTGCACAGCCTCAGGCTGACCTCCCCATCTGCGCTGCGCTGCGCTGCCCTAGGTCCCCTACCCACCTGGTGTTCACCTCTGGCCAGCCCCTACCCACCTTTCTGGGCTGACTGGCCTCGGCAATCCTTAGACCCTCACTCTTTTCCCACACACGCCTCCTGGTGGGTCCAGAACCCTCTCCAGCCCACAAACACACCACACTCAGCCTGCCACCCTGGCTGGGATCTCACCTGACCAGGCCTGCAATGTTCTCCTTTCTGCTGACCCTTCAAGGAGAGCCCTCCCAGAACCACTCGGTAGCAGGCCTCTGTCCCTCCAGCCTCACTTCCACTCTTGCAGCCACTGCCCAGCGAGGCCCAGGTTGGGTCTCAGCTGCTGGCTGCTTCTGCAGTGCTGGCCACCTCGGAGCAGGCTTCCTGCAGCTCTCTTGTGACACACAACAAAACCAGGGCCGGCTTTCCCATCCGCATTAAAACAGGAAGCCAGAAGCCACAACTGGGACCAAATCCTCAGCTGGTGGCCGCTCCCCACATAAGCCCTGCAGGTCCACTTCACACCCCTGGCTGAGGGCTGCTCCCTCGCATCAGCACAGCTCTGCCTTTCACGAGACCATGGCTGCGGGGGGTCAGACCCAGGGCTGTGTGCATGCTGGCAAGGGCACCCCACTGAGCAACACCCCAGCTCGCCACTGCTTCTGAGCACAGCTTTCCATTCCTCACAACACTTGCAATGGAAACGAAAACCCAGGTCACCAGGACCCTCTCAACAGGTAAAACCCAGAGCGCGCAGAATTTCCTGCAGTAAGGCTGACAACTCCCGAGTGTATTTTCCACTGTTTATTTCCATCAGTACCATTCATTGAAAGAGAAAGACAAGATTCCCACGTTCCAAACCAGACTGCAGTGCAGCCTCCGCAGTCAGACCTGATGGCAGCATGTGGCCCATTCTGCCCGTCAGAGTGTTCTGGCTGCTTTTAGAAGGGTCTTAGGGAACATGCCTGGCACTTGATCCACTCCCCACCTGGCAGCTGCCAGCTGCACCCTGGGTGCCGGGTGTTCCCCTAGCACACACTCCAGATGAACGCGGCATGGCGAGAAGTTATTAAAGCCGACAGAAGGCTGACCACACAGCTTGAGGGAGTCTTCTGTCATAAGCTACAACAAAGATCCCCACCAAAATCTTGGGAAAATATTTCTAAATCTCTGATAGGTCTCTTGGCTAACAGTGAGTTTCCTATGACAGCAGAGTCTATAAATGTTAATTAAAAATAAGTTGCTTTGGTTAGCATTTAAAACTTTCCCATTTAATAAAAGATTTTTTATGAGGAATTTTGAATACATAAAGTCTGATTTTCAGCTTTGAATTTCAAGTGCGAGAGCACAAAACACTGACATTTCAGGATAAAGGCGTCTGCCACAATTTCATCTGGCTACTGCAGCCCATGCCTCATTTTTATGCCCCACAGCACTTGGAACGGAGATGTAAAGGCTGACCGTGGGGCAGGAGGGACGGTGGTGTGGGAGCACGTGGGGGGAGCAGGGCCCACACCGTGGCTGGGAGGCCACAGCTTCAGCAGCAGGCACAGCAAAAAGCTGCCCAGGAGGCAGGTGACAGGAAGAGGAGACAGGTCTGGTCACACTCCCTGCCGCTCCCCTTCCCCCGAGACCTTCCTGGGACACCCTCTTCTCCAGCAGCAAGCCTGCTTCCTACTGGGTGAAAAATCAAGCAAAGGGCAGAGTTAGGGTGCACACCTGAAGGCAGAGGGGAAAGCAGAGCAGGCTGCGGAGCCAGGCAGTGTCTTCCCCATGACCAGCCTCTGGCCCCCGCAGGCCTTGCCTATGAGGGTCCCCAGCTGCCCCTCCTGTACCCAGAGGAGGAAGCACGCTTGCAGCAAAATCAGATGAAAAGCAAGAACAAAAGGAAGACCTGCAGGAGACTTTTCATAATGACAGAATTTATAAGCAGAAACTTAGTACTTCTTTGTTCACTAGTTTTTCTTCGCTGCTGACTTTATATTTTCTACGTAGGACAAGTACTCTGCAATAATAATCTCTTCATCTTCCAGAGTCGAGTCAAGGTAATCCTCCTCGTGCTCAGGAATGTCTTCCAGTATCTCATTGACAGCCTCTGTCTCCATGTCCTCGTCTGTCGAGGCGCTGGAGGTCCCTACAGTAAGACACACAGTGAGGGACCGCGCCAAGGCCCCTGTGACACACTTCCTGCCGGCCACCCTGTCCCGGGAACATCCTCCTCAGTCTCCAGGTCAGCCTCTCCCTCAGGCCCATGCCTGGGGTGTCTGCTCTCCTGGTGTTCAGACCTGACCCACCTGTGGAATCCGAAGGGGACGTGGATGGGGTGGATGAGGAGTCCTCCCCTGAGAGCTGCAGGTCGGGAGGAAGGATCCCTCCGTGGTGAGCGAGGGTCTGAGCCGCCAGCTGGACGTTGCCCCTGAACACCTTCAGCGCGACCCCGGCCGCGACTGTGTCAAAGCCCATGTATACCAGCTAGGGGACAGAAAAAGGCCACGGCATGTCATGCTCACATGCTGCATGGACTGTCACACCCACGCTCATCTGTGGTGCGCAGCATGCACCCTGCCCTCCTGACAAGTCACCCTTCAGCCTAGCATGCACGAGGCCACCAGGAAAGGGTCGTGGACGACCTTGGTGCAATGGGTTGTGTGGCCACCTCAGGGCTGGGAGCAAAGTGTTGTGCAAACTCAGGCACAGGTGTCACGAGCTCAGCGGCCACCAGGCGTGGGGCACTTTAACTTGTGGGGCAAGTATGGCTGGAGTCGTCACTTGTCACAAGGTGGATGGACTCCACAGGACAAAGGGACGTCCTTTTGGTCATACGCAGAGAACTGGGGAGGATGTAAACAGTGATATGTGGAAAAAAGAGGCAAGCTAGAGGAAGACGGCCTGCGAGGCTTTCCAATTTTTCCTGCTGCACGTGCTGGCGGCCCTCCCTCGCAGGTCCTGCCTGGAGCCTGGAAACCTGGGCAGCAGCACAGCTTGCCCTGTCCTGCCGCCACCCTGCCCTCCCCAGCCAGCCCACCTGAGGGACCCGGGGCGCCAGAGCTGGGGGCGCAAAGGCCAGTCACTCACTTGGTCAATGCTTTCCTGGGAAGGGCTTTCTCGGCTACTGGTTTCAGAATCTGAATCTTTTAACCACATCTGAGGGTTACTGAGGAGAATCTGAAAGCACAGGGACACCGTGACTCACCACAACTGCCCACGGGGCCAGGGCACAGCACCCACAGTGCACCAGCAGACAGCCCAGGTCTGTCTGCTTGTAGCACAGACAGACCACCTGGGACACTGTGGTGGGCCATGCGAAGGTGCCATAAAGCCAGGAAAGGGGCCCAACCCAGGTTGGGGACCAAGCTGTGTTTGCAGAAGGCTCCAGTCAAATGTCACCTCAGACTTGAGGTTTGAAGGGGAGCAAAAGTGACCAGGAAAAAAGCTCCCTTCTCCCCTGTGAGCAAGACGTGCAGAGTGGAGAGCTGGAGGAGGCAGTCCAGGAGGGCACACGGTTCCGCCAGAGCGCAGCTCTGGGCAGAGGCCACAGAAGGAAGTGAACAGAAGGCTGCTGAGCAGGCCTCCTCGCCTCTGAAGGCACCACGCCCTCCTGACCTGAAGGAGGCACTAGTAGCTCAGTGCTGCATGGATTGTCAAATCCACGCTCATCTGTGGTACGCAGCATGCATCCTGCCCTCCTGACAAGTCACCCTTCAGCCTAGCATACATGAGGCCACCAGGAAAGGGTCATGGACAATCTTGATGCAATGGATCGTGCGGCACTGGGGATAGAACCCAGCATGTAACCACTGAGTTACATCCCAGATCGCTTTGTTTTATTTGTTTTTTTGAGACAAGTCTTGCCAAGTTGCTGAGGCTGGCTTTGAACTTGCCATCCTCCTACGTAGCTGGGATCATAGGCATACACCACCACCCCCAGCCAGAA